CAGCACTTTGCTCATGTCAACTCACCTGATTGACAACCACCTTGTAATTAAAATATTTAGGTGAGAAAACAGACACAGAGAGGTAGAGACCTGCCTAAATTCACACAGCTTGTTCTGATTTGAACCCTGGCATCTAGAGTTCTTATTCTTAACCATGATGCTGCAGCATGTATTAAGTCCTACCATGTACCAGGCAGGCCACATGTATGTATTAAATCCTGGCCTCAGGTAATAAGTCCTACTATGTGCCAGGCATGAAGCTAACCATTTTTCCTTTTAAAAATATAATTTATAATTACATACATTAAAACACTATGTAGGCTTCCTATAAGAGAAGGAAACAATTGGTAAGAGTAGACATTGAAAAGAAAAAAATTCAGGCCAGCCGAGTGGCTGGTTGGATAAGAGTTGGCTGGGGAGCGCGAGCTCTGAGCAACTGGGCCACCAGTTCAGATCCCACATGGGCCAGTGATGCTGCACTCTTTACAGCTAAGATGGTGAACAACTGCTCAACCTGGAGCTGGGCTGCCATAAGCGACGGAGTAGGAGTAGGCTGCAGTGGGGCCGTGGGCTGTCGTAAGCTACTGTGAGTGGCCGGCAGCCAGCGTAAGTGGCCGGCTACTGTGAGCCTCTGTGAGCAGCCGTCCAATGGCCGGTGACCGATTTGCCTCAGCTGGGAAGAGCACAATGGTCACAATACTAACATGGGCCTATGAAGTGATGTCCTCCACAGCTAGCCTGAAGAACAACAGGACAGCAGTTTGTTCCCCAATGCTGTTCCCTTCCCCAATTCCCCAATAAAATCTTTAAAAAGAAAAGACAAAATTCTTCTGTCCTCTCCCCTTTCCCATTCCAGGTGCTAGATGTACTTTTTCAGGTGTTTCTGTGCCTAGACAAACATCAGTGAACACCCACGTAACATCTTTGCTCAGGATCCCATTTCTTTGGGGAATGTAACAGTTGGATCTTTGCCGTGACATCAGGTGGGATAAACAAAGAGGGTTTAAGAAGGGCCACTTATGAAAATTTTCGCAGGGTCAAGGTGCACCATCCATGATAGTGCAGCACCTGGAGCTGCCACCTCCCTCAGGCTGATTGGACAAGGCAACAACTGTTCCTGGAAACAAGGGGAGTAGCTACAGCTGAAAGACAAGGTAGCTTTTAGCAGATGGTGGATATCACTTCCCTTACCCTCTCTGGCAGCCTGCAGGTGCCTCCCACTCACCAACTACCACCTCATTATTGACTCAAGGAGGCTGCAGGT